AAAAAAAAAAAAAAAAAAAAAAAAAAAAAAAAAAAAAAAAAAAAAAAACTAGAATATCAAAAATAGATGATGCTGATGATAAACAATGAATAATCTATTGAATAGATAGTGAAGATAAAATGAACACATATTTAATATGACTGATCAAAAACTCATACAACACCACCATTATCACCAAAACGATCTAGAACAAATAACAATGAAGCATCCAGTTCACATAATAATTATGCACAAAGAAGTATTAAAGATTTTATATATAGAAATTATTATAGTTATCATTAAGAAAAAATAAAGAAAATATACCACCAACATATTTAAAAAAATAAATAAATCCATCTAATGGAATATTAAATATAGATTGTGCAACCAATATATAAGATTTAATAGTCACTTGGACTAGCCAATTAAAGTTATTAGTTCAAACTAATGATTGAATGATAAATGGAAAGACATTAACAAATTTTCTTAATTATAAGAGATATAAAACATTCGAAGTACTATTTGACTATCTAGAAAATACTCAAATTTTATTAAATTTTGAAGCCAGTGGTTTATAAACATGAGCAGAATATAAAATATCAGCTTTAAGAGAATTAGCAAAATAACTATTAAGAGAATTTTTAAGAACTACAAAGACAAGAGTCAAAGGAAACACAAAAAAAAAATAAGGTAGTTAGATTTCTAACAAACATGAATTTATGCAATGCATGTTACATAGAAAATTTTTGTCAAATAAGAGAAAATTTTTATAAAATTAAAGATCGGTCAGGACTAATAGAAATAGTTGAAAGTAAACTTAAATATAACAGGAATAAATGTATTCATAAGAAAATCAGTGAAACAAGAGAATAAAGAACTATAGAAATTTTAGAAAAACATGTGAAAGAATATAGAGATGAACTTTGTATAAAGAAATTAGAACACCATGAAATGACTAAAATTGATTCAAGATGTTGTAAAAAATTAGAAAGTATACCACAAGAATTCGGTTGTTATGAATGATACAGAAAAGAAAAGATATGATAAATACAATAAGTTTAACAGACGATATAAATCCATAAGATATAAGACATTTAAAAAATTGAAAAACTCATGTTCATGGCCTTGAATCATTCTTTTCCTTTGTGGAATGTCTATAGGAACCGGTCCAACAGAGAGAAAAACCGGTATGGAAATCAAAATATAGAGAAAAGTTTAGAAAACAAGGAAAGTACTTAGGAAAACTCAAACATTTTCCTAAAGAAAAAAAGAAATGTAAATGTTGAAAATATAAAGAAATAGAACACTACGCAAATGAATGTCATAAAAACCTAATAGAAAAAATAAAAAAAGTTAAAAATGATATTTTCTTTAGGTTATGAACCTATAGAAGAAGAATACGAAAAATGTGAGTTATTAGACTTCGATATATATGATTTAGAAACAGAAACGGATAGTGACTTAGAATCATCATAATCAGAAGATGAGTAAAAATAGTTCATTTATAAAATTTAAATATTTAACAAATTTTTACTAGCATATATAGACATAGGTGCAACAATATGTCTAGCAAAAGAATCTATATTACCTAGTCAATATTGGAAGAAATTAGACAAACCAATTATAGTGAGAATTGAAAACAATAAGACAATAAATACTGATTATAGAGCAACAAATTTAGTGTTGTTAATAGAAGAAAAACGATTTCCTTCATCAAATCTTTATAAACAAAATACAGGTTAACCATTAATTATTTGAAATAAGTTTCTTAAGTTATACAGTCCATTCATTCAAAGATTAAGCAGCATAAGTCTTAGATGTCCACAACTAGATACGCAATCTAGTAAAATAATTACCAAAAAAATATATAATATGTCTTATTTCATAAGAGGGATATTAAGAAAAGTTTCATTTCAAATTTATAAAGTATTAAGTATAACACATTAGAAGAACAAGTTACTCAGTTATTAAAAAACTATGTAGTCAAAATCTATTAGATCCAAATAAAAATATGAATAACATGATAGTAAAAATAGAACTAATAGAACTAACAAAGAAGTCAATGTGCCAAGTAGAATACCATACACAACAAGAGATGTTAAAGAATTTCAAGAAGAAACTACTAAAATGATAGAAAATGGTATTATACAACCTAATACAAGTCCACATAGTGCACCAACATTCTATGTAGAAGATCACAATGAATTATAAAAAGGAAAATGTAGAATATTAACAAATTAAAAATAAATTAATAAAACCACTAAAGGAAATGCATATAAGTTACCACAACAAAATTATATTCTTAGTCGAATTAAAAAGGTAAAATGGTATAGTACATTAGACGCTAAATCACGATATTGGCAGTTAAAGTTACATGAAGAAACTAAACCTTTAACAACATTTAGTTGTCCACCTCAAAACCACTATGAATACAATGTAATGCCATTTGGACTTAAACAAGCATCTAGCATAAAGATTTATGAATAATAATCTTAAGAGACTAGAATCAATAAGTCCGGCTTATATAGATTATATAATTATTTTTACACAAAGATCAAAAGAAGATCATTTAAAAAAAAAAACTTGCGAAGATTTTTAATACAGTTGGGTAATAAATGAGTTATTTTAAGTAAAGAAAAAGCAAAAATTTGCAAAATCGGAACATAATTTTTTCGAATGAAAATAGTCGAATGAGGCTATATCGAACCTCAAAAACATCTACTTGAAAAAATATATCAGCTTCAAAACATAAATCAAATTAAAAAAAATCTTAGATGTTTAACATATATTAGAGAAAAAGGTTTTATAAAAAGTCTTGCAAAAGAAAAAGAATTTCTACAAAAAGTTATTTCAGAAAAAAGTACCATGGAAATGGATAAAAAATACAACTAGAGCAGTACAGTCCTTAAAAAGACTATGTACTCATTTACCACAGCGTTATCTACGAAAGCCTAGTGATTTACTTAATTTAAACACCGATGCAAGTCAGCATACTTGGGGAGCAATACTTCAAGCAATCACACATGTATATGAAGAGTTTAGTAAGTTTATCATGAGCAACAAACCATCTGAAGTTAAATCTTTCATACAAAGGATGACTAAAGATAGTTTGGATGCAAATAGTGACTCTTACAATTCTAATCAAAATTAGAGAAATCTAATGTCAAAGGTGAAATTCTTTTAAGCAGTCTATGCAAATAGAATTGGAAAAATCCTGTAGCAAACGATTACTGTTATCTAAATGGGTATCAGGAAGATTTAAGGCAGCTGAACACAACTATATTACACATGAGAAAGAAACCTTAGCCTTTATAAATGCACTTGAAAATTTTAAACTCGACCTACAACCAATGAAATTCATCTTCCAAACTGATAGCATATACAGTAAAGATT